TGGTTAATACAGGATAATTGATGGTGCTTTGGTGGTTGTTGCCTATACCAAACTCTATGGCTTCTGTTGAAAGGCAGTGGGGTTGTAGCTACCCAGAAAGGAAGAAGCTCTCAAAGCTTTGAGGGTGGGGATGGGGGATGATGTCAGTCCTTTAATAGAGAACTTTGAGTTGAAAATCTTAGTTCATTTGAGCTAAAAGGGTGAGTGCTTCTTCTGTGTCTTGATTTTTCCTTCTTGCTGTTCCTTGACTTCTACTTTAAGGAGAAAGATGCATACAGATTGGGCTGAGGTAACCTGTCCTTGCAGAAGACCAGTGGCCAAACCTGTGTCCAAATATGCTAGGAGAACTTCAAAGAGAGGAAGGAGTAAAACTTTTTGGATATAGTCACCTGCGTCATCTTACCTCATTACATTTGTGGAGCACTCACATTGAGCTGATAGGTGTATAAGTAACCTGTGAAATAAGGGCAAGTCAGTGTGACATCTTGGGTAGAGTCCTTTTTGGCTTTCAGTGCAGAAGGATGAATAATTAGTGTTGGTGTTTTCATATGCTTATACAGTGAATAACTATAGAACCAAGGGGATTCTTCTCATCAAGAGTCATTTGTGAAGTGAGGCTGGAGATAGAATTTACCTAGGAAGCCTAAAGCCCTGGGTTTACTTCCTAGCCACCTGCCTTCCCCCCTTCCCAGTATCCCCTCCCCCGAAAAAAAAAGGTTTAGTACTTTGGCATTCTGAATCTGTAGTGATTTCTTTGAGCTACAAATTATTGCAACTGCATCCAATTCAATCAGAAGACTGAAAACTGTATTTAAAAATGGCAAAGACTTTAGCAGACACTTTTTTTTTTTTTTTTTTTTGGTCCGGTCGTGGAGCCTGAACTCTGGGCCTGGGCACTGTCCCTCAGCTCTTCAGCTCAAGGCTAGCGCTCTACCATTTGAGCCACAGCGCCACTTCCGGCTTTTTTCCCTTTGCTTATGTGGTGCTGAGGAATCGAACCCAGGGCCTCTAGCATGCAAGGTAAGCACTCTACCACTGAGCCACCTTCCCAGCCCCTTTAGCAGACACTTTTTAAGTGAAGATACACTGTAGACAATGTATACAGGAAAAGTTCTTTGGTATTAATCATCTGGGAGTTACAAAGTAAAACTACAATGAAAGGTTTGGGGGTATGTGACTCAATATAGAGCACATGCTAGGCAAACACACACAAGATCAAAGAAAAAGACCTGTGTGTGGTGATACACACCAACAATCAGAGTGCTCTAGAGACTGATGGATGGAGAATATGAGTCCAACTTCATAATGAGAGCTTGTCTCAAAAAGAGAAGGAACTACAATGGTGTATCACTTCATATACATTAGAATGTTTAAAACTTAGAAAGGGTAAGATGGCATATTTCTGTAATCTCAGCACTCAGGCAGCTGAGGTAGGAGGATTGTGAGTTTTAAAGCAGCCTGGGTTTACATAGAGAGACTCTGTCTCAAAAACAAAGTGATAAAGTGATAATTTTTTAAAAAAGATGACACTAATTTTTTTTTTTTTGGGTCCCAGTCGTGGGGCCTGAACTCTGGGCCTGGGCGCTGTCCCTCAGCTCTTCAGCTCAAGACTAGGGCTCTACCACTTGAGCCACAGCACCACTTCCAGCTTTTTTCTTTTTGTTTATGGGGTGCTGAGGAATTGAACCCAGGGCCTCATGCATGCAAGGCAAGCGCTCTACCACTGAGCCACCTTCCCAGCCCATCGATGACACTAATTTTTGATGAGCATATAGACTAGTGGCTAGAATTTTCATACTCATTGGTGGGTATTTAGATTATGTAATGTAATTATGTAATAATTTGGGTGTTTCATATATACTTAAAAATAAACTTTTTTTATGACCCAACAGTTCCACTTCTAGATATTTATTCAAAAGCAATAAAAAAAATACTAACAAGTTCATAGCATTATACATTATAGTTCTAAACTGTATAAACAGTTCAGATCCCTATTAAGGTGAATGGATATACAAATTGTAGATTAGTATCTACAATAATGTCTGCAGTATTATTCAGAACTTCTAGTCAGTGCAGCAATCAAGATAAATGTCAAAAAACATGCTGAGAGAAAAGCTCATGCTGTGTGATTATTTTATGTCACAATTATATAACACAAGAAGCCCCTGACTTACAGTAGTCTACCTATGATATATATATATATTTTGGTTGGTTGGTTGTGGGACTTGAACTCTGGGCCTGGGCTCTCTCCTTGCGCTCTTCAGCTCAAGGCGAGTGCTCTACCGCTTGAGCCACAGCACCACTTCTGGTTTTCTAGTGGTTTATTGGAGACAAGAGTCTCGTGGAGTTTCCTGCCTGGGCTGGCTTTGAACCATGACCCTCAGATGTCAGCCTTCTGAGTAGCTAGGATTATAGGCCTGAGCCACCGGTGCCCAGCTGCCTATGATTTTTGACCTTATAATGGCACAAAAATGTAAGTATAAAATATAAAAGTAAGGTATTGGATTTTGATTTTTTTTCTTGGGCAAACAATAATGTTCTGCAATCATCCCTTTAGATACTATGCAGTGTATTGAGCACAGCTCCCTAGTCAGGCAGGTGATCACAAGACTGTGATTGCTTGTCTTGCCAAGCTATGCTTTGAGTAGGTTAGGTGTATTATGTGTGCTTTGACTTTTTTTTTAAAGAATTTATTTTTATTAAAGAGGTGATATATAGAGGGGTTACATTTACCGAGTCAGGTAATGAGTACACTTCCTTTCGTACTGTGTAATCTGTTCCTCATTCTCTCCCATTCCCTTCTTCCCATCTCCACCCACAAGTTATAGTTCACTTTCATCAATGTTCAGTGTGCTCTACTGCTGTATTGTTTCACCCTGTTTTCTTGGATTCTGTTCCTCTTCCTCCACCCCCCCCCCCCCCCCCACACACATAGGCATGTGAATACATCATATATCAGGTAAAGAATACAGAATCATAGGTTTACTGGGTTATGACCCCATCATAAGTTAAGGAGCATCTGTATATGATTCCATTTATATGAAGTGGAATCCTATAGGCAGTGGAACATATTTAGTATGAGCAAAAAGGCCAAACTAGGGCTGGGAAGATGGCTCAGTGGTAGAGCACTTGCCTTGCATGCCTGAGGCCCTGGGTTGGATTCCTCAGCACCACATAAGCAAAATGAAAAAAGCCGGAAGTGGCTCTGTGGCTCAAGTGGTAGAGGCTAGCCTTGAGCTGAAGAGCTGAGGGACAGCACCCAGGCCCAGAGTTCAGGCCCCATGACCGGACCCCCCCCCCCCCCAAAAAAAAAAGGCCAAACTAGAGATGGTCAGTAGTTGTGTAGGATGGGATTTCAGGATAATTAGTTAATTATAATTTTTTCCCCCACTTTGGAACACTAGTAGTGATAAGTGGTAAGAATTTAAAATAATATGATTTATAATTAAATTGGTAAACTTTGGTTTGGTTTGAAAACCTGAATTTGAATCATGGCTCAAACCAACTATTTGACCGTTCACTAGCTCTATGACCTTAGGCAAATTATTATTTAACCTTTTTAAAGTTTTCATCATAAAATGGAGATGAGAATGGATTGTCATGAGGATTAAGTTATGCCATCAATGCTACAGAATGTAGTAACTGCTCAGCATTGGTGATAATCGCAGTATTTACCAATGTTAATAAGCATACTTTGTTACTCATAAGTGTTACTTTGAATATTAGAATAGTTATTGTATTTTTATATGTTTACAAAGGTGCTGTAATTCCAGCACTCAGGAGACTGAGAAAGAAAGATGAGTTTGAGGCAATCTGTCTATATGTGGGTGTGGAGCTGGGAGAGGAAGAAAAGAAAAAGTTGCTGATTAGGTTCTTGTGGATCTTTGATGTTCTCTGATCAGTAACATGTTACTGCTATTTAGTCTATCAGGAACGTGATGTACTGTAATGCATGAAGACAATGGAACTCACTCCTTTACTGGATGTCCTATACGACTTTTGGCTAAAAGTCAAATAATTATTTTATTCAAGGGGATTGGCTGTACACTTCTTAAATAGTTCCTCTTGTAGCACTTTGCATGGTGGAGTATGAACTGGGAGCCTGGGTGCTATCCCTGGGCTCTTTTGCTCAAGGCTAGCGCTCTACCAAATGAGTCACAGTTCCACTTCTGGCTTTTTATGGTTAATTGGAGATGAGTCTTATACACTTTCCTGCCTACTGGCTTCTAATCACAGTTCTCAGATCTTAGCCTTCTGAGTAGCTAGGATGACAAGTGTGATTCATTGGGGCTTGACTGTAATTGATTTTTTTTTGGGTGGGGGGATTGGTTGTGTGGCTTGAACAAAGGGCCTAGGTGCTGTCCCTTCACTCATTTTGTGCAAGACTAGTACGGTTTAAGCCACAGCATCACTTATGGTTTTCTGGTAGTTAATTTGAGATAAGAATCTCATAGATTTTCCTGCCTGGTTGGTTTTGAACCTTGATCCTCAGATCTCAGCCTGAGTAGCTAGGTTTACAGGCATGAGCCACTGGTGCCCGGCGGATTATTGGAGATTTAAAGTTATTTTCTTAGATGTTGGTATTTAAATCCTTCTTTGTGTAAGTTGACAGTTTTCAAGTCTTGTAATGAGAGAAACATTGGAAAGAAATAAGATGATCAGGCTAATGATAGACCAAAAGATTTTGTGGTAGGGCATTGGAAAAGAATTGGGAATGATTTTGTAACATTGTTGTCTGAATGTGATGTTGCCTTTGAGTTGAAAATGATACATAAGAATGTTTGCTTCTGGTTTTGTATTCCATATGGCTTACTTTAGATTCTTGAAGCTAAGAATTTGTTAAAAATGGGGTTAAACTAAATAAGCACCAGGAATATCTTTCATTTAATTGGATATCACCTTTAAAAATGGTTATTTTGTTATTTGAATTTTTCTGGATTTTTTTCTCCTAAATCTGTTTTGAAAACTAGTAATTTACTCATTTTCAACTTTTATTGCAGCACCTGATCACCTTTGTAGCAGGAGAACGATCATGGAGGTGGTGCCAGCTGAGGTGAATAGTTTGCTTCCAGAGGAGATAATGGACACTGGTATAACTTTAGTGGATGATGATAGTATTGAGGCTGTTATTGTTTCATCCCCAATTCCTATGGAGACAGAACTGGAAGAAATTGTCAACATACATTCTACTGGTGACTCTGCAGCCACGCCCATTTCCACGGAATCAATCACAGTGTACAGTAACCACACTAACCAAGTTGCAGTGAATACCACAATTACTAAAGCAGATTCTAATACCACAGTGAAACCAGCTTTTCCAAGTGGCCTTCAAAAACTTGGTGCTCAGACTCCTGTGACTATCTCAGCCAATCAGATTATTTTAAACAAAGTATCACAGTCATCTGATCTTAAACTTGGCAATCAGACCCTTAAACCAGATGGACAGAAGTTAATTTTAACAACTTTGGGCAAGTCTGGTTCACCAATTGTTTTAGCACTACCCCATAGCCAACTACCCCAGGCTCAGAAAGTTACAACTCAGTCCCAGTCAGGAGATGCTAAGTTACCACCGCAGCAAATTAAAGTAGTTACCATTGGAGGGAGGCCAGATGTGAAACCTGTCATTGGTGTCTCAGCATTGACCCCAGGAAGTCAACTGATTAATACTACAACTCAGCCCTCTGTGTTACAGACCCAACAGTTAAAAACAGTACAGGTAAAAAAAAAAAAAAAAAAAAAGAGGGGGCTTACTAATTAAAATGCATGTTAAAAATTAAACTAGTTCATAGATGTGTTATTAATTGCATAGCTGTTACTGAATTCTTTTGAATGTTGCTTTAAGTGTGGCTTATTTGTTCTTGTTCTCAAGTCTGATATGCCTAATGCTTATGGAATTTTTTTCCCAGAGAACCTAGAGAAAACTAAAATTTGGTTAAATTCCAAATTTATTTTATTTATAGCCTTTTGTTATTTCAAAATGTGTTTTTATTTATTCTTAATGATAGTTTGGTTACATGGATGAGTTGCTGGTATAAAAATGTCAGATTTGCTCCATAAAATTGTTCAGACAAAAAAAAATTGTTTTGATTAACTCATGATCAAAGGCTTACAAGATTGCTGCCTTGAGAAACCCTGGAGCAGCAATAGTGTGTGGTAGCCCGTGTGTGTGGGGATGGGGTGGAGTAGCCTCTGTGTGTGTGTGTGTGTGTGTGTGTGTGTGTGTGTGTGTGTGTGTGTGATTTACAGTTTCACATCCATTGCTATCACTCATGTTTGTAATATGGAAAGAGACAGGGACACCTAGGCCTTGTTCTCCAAAGCCTAGCCAACTAGCCATAAGTTACCCATTCTATCCTGCCACCTGTGCAGGGTAGCTTATGTCTCTGAAGTTTTGACCTTTTGAATATTTGAACATTGAAGAAAGAAATAATACTGTATAGTTCTTAAAACACTTTAAAAAAGATACTACCTCTTATTAGTGTGAATAGGATTCTAGATAGAACTTTTGAAGAGCATATATTAGTTTCTAGTTTTTCATACCCCAAATGGCCTTTTTAGGCTACCACTAACTCTTAGAAATACAATAATTCACTTAAGACTGCATTTCCTGTTAGAAAGGTTTCCTTTTGAAGAAAGTAAGGCAGATTTAAAGTTAGTAAAGGAAGTGTGTAAAGAAGTGGGAAAGTTTGGGAGAATTGTCCCTTCTCAGCTGATATTTAGAAGTGTTTTGGTTACTTTTGGGGCAAGAATTCAAAATTTACTTTTCACGGACTTTGCATTTAAGAATTGTGTAAGTTTTCTCAAACTTTGTAATTTTCCCATGTTCGTTCTGCCACAGTTAACGTGTCATGTTTCTTCTCCTTCACTGTTATTTCCCACTTTTTTTTTTGCTGAGGAACTATTGAATGAGATATCCTATCCCCATAAAGCATCTTTTCTGAACTTTTGAATCTTATTTTCACTGGTTGTCAGAGTTTATTTGGCTTCTGCAATGTGGATAATAATCATGTTCATAAGAAACTGATAACAGAATCAGTATGTCTTATTTTTCACTTTTAAGATCACTGTGTGTGTGTGTATATACGTATACACACACACACACACACACACACACACACACACACACACACACACACACACACACACACACACACACACACACACACACACATATAGTTTCAATCACAGGTGTATTTGTACCTACTAGTTTTCAACTATGATTTTCTACATAATGACAATAAAAGCTAAGACTGGGGTTGAATTCTTATGACTTGTTTTTATTGTTGTTACTTTTATAAAACCAGATTTTATTTATTAAAAAAGATTTTTTTTTTTTTTGGTTGGTCGTGGGGCTTGAACTCTGGGCCTGGGCACTGTTCCTGAGCTCTTCAGCTCAAGGCGAGCCCTCTACCACTTGAGCCACAATACCGCTTCCAGTTTTCTGATGGTTAATTGGAATTTCATGGACTGCCGGGCTGGCTTTGAACCATGATCCTCACATCTTAGCCTCCTGAGTAGGTAGAATTTACAGATGTGAGTCACCAGCACCTGGCTTAAAAAAGAATTTCTATTTACAGTTATAATAGAAACCCAAAAAAATCTGTTTAGAATATAGTTCTATTTATCCAGTTATTTTAGGTAGCCAACTCAGATCCTCCCAAGTCAGAAGTAACCTACAAAGCTCTAAAATATTTTGGAAAACATAAATAAAAACCTTATATTTTTTCCATTTTCAAACTTAGAATATTTGATTTGTTCCATGGTGTGAATAATTTTTTTTTTTTGGTAGGTCATGGGGCTTGAACTCTGGGCCTGAGCACTGTCCCTCAGCTCTTCAGCTCAAGGCGAGCGCTCTACCACTTGAGCTACAGTGCCACTTCCGGTTTTCTGGTGGTTTATCGGAGATAAGAGTTTCACGGACTTTCCTGCCCGGGCTGGCTTTGAACCTCGATCCTCAGATCTCAGCCTCCTGTGTAGCTAGGATTACAGGCATGAGCCACCGGCGCCGGGCTGAATAATATTCTCTTGTTGTTTTCCTAGATAGTCCTGATTTCTTTAATCAGAATGTTTGAGATTGTTGGGGTATGGCCAGCAGGACTACTGGAAAATAGACCCATCTTCAAAAGTGATAGAAAGAGGTGCTGATACCACAGGCAGTAAAGTATATAGGGATATTTATATTTACTCATATTTTGTGTGCCTGGTGTTCAGGAACAGTAAATAATGAATGAATCACTGGGACATAACGCTTTTTTTTTTTTTTGGGTCCGGTCATGGGGCCTGAACTCTGGGCCTGGGCGCTGTCCCTCAGCTCTTCAGCTCAAGGCTAGCACTCTACCACTTGAGCCACAGCGCCACATCCGGCTTTTTTCTTTTTGCTTATGTGGTGCTGAGGAATCGAACCCAGGGCCTCTGGCATGCAAGGCATGCGCTCTACCACTGAGCCACCTTCCCAGCCCAAAATGATGAGTGTTTTTTTTTCTTTTTGCTTATGTGGTGCTGAGGAATTGAACCCAGGGCCTCATGCATGCAAGGCAAGCGCTCTACCACTGAGCCACCTTCCCAGCCCTTTTTTTTTTTTAAAGGAGCCCTTTCTTTTTTATTATTTATTTATTTATTTATTTTTAATTTTTTTGGTCCAGTCGTGGGGCCTGAACTCTGGGCCTGGGCGCTGTCCCTCAGCTCGTCAGTTCAGCTAGCGCTCTACCACTTGAGCCACAGTGACACTCCAGCTTCTTTTTGCTTATGTGGTGCTGAGGAATCAAACCCAGAGCCTCAGGCATGCACGGCAAGCGATCTACCACTGAGCCATCTTCCCAGCCCGACATAACGCTTTACTAGCTCCTGAATCTATCCAGCATAGTGTTGAAAATTATTTACATAAATTATTTGAGGACATTTTTCAGCTCCCTTTCTTTCTTTCTTTTTTTTTTCCCCTCCTTAATCTGCTGGCTAGATAAATTTGTTTAAAAATGGTCCTCATGGGCTGGGAAGGTGGCTCAGTGGTAGAGCGCTTGCCTTGCATGCATGAGGCCCTGGGTTCGATTCCTCAGCACCACATAAGCAAAAAGAAAAAAGCCAGAAGTGGCGTTGTGGCTCAAGTGGTAGAGTGCTAGCCTTGAGCGGAAAAGCTGAGGGACAGCGCCCAGGCCCAGAGTTCAGGTCCCATGACTGGACCCAAAAAAAAAAAATGATCCTCATGCTTGGTTTTATTTAGTAAAGGAATTTTGTTCTAAGGTAGTTTAGAATTCCTTTTTTTTTTTTTTTTTTGGTCTATTATGGGGCTTGAACAGCCTGGGTGTTGTCCCTCAGCTCTTCAGCTCAAGGCTAACACTCTCTACCACTTGATCCACAGTGCCGCTTCCGGTTTTCTGGTGGTTCATTGGAGATAAGAGTCTCATGTTCTTTCCTGCCTGGGCTGGCTTTGAACCTGGATCCCCAGATCTCAGGTTCCTGAGTAGCTGGAATTACAGGCATGAGCCACCAGTGCCTGGCTTGGCTTAGAATTCTTAATGCAAAAATTTTGGTTCTTTAATGGAACTAGCAGTTGTTATGTTCAACAATATTCCACTGAAGAAATTCAACCTCAGTGGCAGTATGACTTCATTTGAATAATTAATGTGTGTTTTTGTTTCTTATATTTTTCCATTTTGGTAAGTATTTGGAAAGAATATGAATATGAAAGTCAATTTAAAAGGGAGAAATACTTTAAGCTCTTTTTGTAGTGGAAGTGTTTTCTATCTATATATGTACTTCTAAAAGCATAACACCATAGCATCATTAATACTATGTAAATAGATGAAATTCCAACTAGAGTTTTAGGTTACAAACATTTGGGATGTATGTATCTCTGGATTATATCCTCTGTCCAAAGTATAATTTTGAATTCACTTTGGTATGTCATAGTTTTGTAAGCTGGGTATTTTTAATTTATTAATGAATTTCCTCTTTAAAAAGTGTTTTGTATTTCTTTTGTTCTATAATTGTTATTCTTTTTTTTTTTTTGGTCCAGTTGTGGGGCCTGAACTCTGGGCCTGGGTTGTCCCTCAGCTCTTCAGCTCAAGGCTAGCGCTCTACCACTTGAGCCACAGCGCCACTTCGGGCTTTTTTCTTTTTGCTTATATGGTGCTGAGGAATCGAATCCAGGGCCTCAGGCTTGCAAGGCAAGCGCTCTACCACTGAGTCACCTTCCCAGCCCCTATAATTGTTATTCTTTTTTTTTTTTTTTTTTTTCTTTTTTTGGGTCCGGTCGTGGGGCCTGAACTCTGGGCCTGGGTGCTGTCCCTCAGCTCTTCAGCTCAAGGCTAGCACTCTACCACTTGAGCCACAGCGCCACTTCCGGCTTTTTTCTTTTTGCTTATGTGGTGCTGAGGAATCGAACCCAGGGCCTCGAGCATGCAAGGCAAGCGCTCTACCACTGAGCCACCTTCCCAGCCCATAATTGTTATTCTTATGTTTATTTTATTTTAATTTTATGGTCAAGATGATATACAGAGGGGTTACAGTTACATGAGTAAGGTAGTGAGTACATTTCTTGTCTGGTAGTGAGTACATTTCTTGTCTAACTGGTTAATCCCTCCCTCATTTTTCTTCCTTTTTCCCTCTCCCTCATTTTGTGTTTCATATACATCTTATCATGTGAGTATAAGAAAATAATGTATTTGAGTGCAAATTAATCTACTAATTTACAATTTGTGTACATAGAACTGGTATTTAGCTTTGTGGTCTGTTACAGTTTTGGTATGTTTCTGTCATTCATTTGGTAATATTAATTTGAGTTATTTTCATTATAATAGTACTTCCAAGTCTTAGTTTTTGTATCTGTCAAAAGAGGAAGTTAACATTTCATGTACTTTACAGATTATAATTCTATGAGTTTTATGATAGGTGATTTTCTGCTTTTGTCTTTCAGAAGCTTGTGGTGATAATTTCAATATAGAGACTTTGTTACTTCTGCTTTCATTGCCTTGAAATGAATTTTAGTTCAGGTTATTAATATGCCAAAATGTAACTTCAGATAGGTGAGGAGTGAAATATAGACCCTTCTTTCAAGGAATTTAAAGAGTAATAAACATTATTTTAGTAAATAATGTTTCAGAACTCTTGCTAATGCTCTACCACTTGCGCCACAGCACCACTTCGGAATAGTCTTTGTTCTATCAGATTTGTCTCTTTAACATAGGATTTGACCAATTCAGTTCTTCCTTTATCTACTTATGAAATAGAGACCTAACAGTGAAAATCTCATCAACAGTCTGTTTATTTTGGATCAGGGGCCAGTGTAATCACACATATGTCTGTGTTGATTACTTTGTCATTTGTACTGTTGCTTTCCTAACTCAATCTTTTTGTTAATAAGTTGTTTTTAAGACTAATATTGCTGTGTCGTTTTTTTATAGTTCAGTATTAAATTGTTAATAATAATTTGGTTTTCATCATAGATATTTCCAAGAGACTATTTTATAGTAAGAATACAAAGGTATTGGTATATTTGGGCTTATGGATATGACCGTATTGGTATTTTATGAATGGCTGCATTTTAAACGTTTTTAGCCTTAATAAATGTATATAATTGGTTAAATGAGCTGGTTTCACAAGTACTACTATGTATGTATCTTTTGTCTAGTTTTGAATGACTAGGTATTTTAAATAACAAATAGTCTTCAAAGTTATTTATATTTTTCAGATTGCTAAGAAGCCTCGAACACCAACCTCTGGTCCAGTGATCACGAAGCTGATCTTTGCAAAACCAATTAATAGTAAAGCAGTTACAGGACAGACAACTCAAGTATCACCACCGGTCATTGCAGGTTATATTTCTTTATAGTTTGTTATACTATGCATTTACCTTCCTTGAGGCTTAAAAGTGGCAGACCTGCCATCTTAAAGTGTGTAGTACAACAAAGGTAGCTTATTATTGAAGACCAAAGTAATTAGAAATGTTAAACTTGTTAAAGGAATGCTTCAAACAGAATGTCTTATAGAAAAATCATTCCATTACCATAGTCTCCTTAGGTTTTACCATGAAAGCAGCCAAGTCTTAAACCTAAGTAAACTAGGTTATGTTTATATAGTGTTTATTGTATGCCGTTCTAAAATCTTTACATATAATATCTTAAGTACTTCTTTGGCAATCCTAAAAGGTGGGATTTTTTTGTGTGTGTGTGCTGGTTTTGCCAGTGTGAAAATGGAGGCACTTAGTTGGTAAATGGCTGAGCTGGGATTTGAATTTAAGCAGTTCATCTCCAGATTATGTGTACTAAGTATAATAGGTTTAAATTATATTCACGAGAGTATATTATACATAGTTTCTGTTTGAATTTTGTCCAGATGTTTGTTGCAATGAGGTCTCACTAACTTTTTGCAAAGGCTGGCCTCAAGCTATAGTTTTTTGCCTCTGGGATTGTAGTCAGAGCCAATATGACCCACTTGGAGTAATTTTTCTAAAATGTAAATCTGATTTTACTATGTGTATGCTTAAAATTTTCTGACCATTAGGATTAAGTTCAAATGCCATTGTTTTATTAGCATCGTAGGTATTTTTTCTTTTTCTTTTTTTTGGTCAGTTGTGGGGCTTGAACTCTGGGCCTGGGCACTTGTCCTTCAGCTCTTCAGCTCAAGGTGAGCGCTCTACCACTTGAACCACAGCGCCACTTCTTGTTTTCTAGTTGTTTTTTGGTGATAAGTCTCAGTGACTTTTCTGCCTGGGCTGGCTTTGAACCGCAATCCTCATAGCCTCCTGAGTAGCTAGGATTACAGGCCTGAGCCACTAGCGCCTGTCGGGATTTTTTCTACATCATATCCAAATATACTTTTTTTTCCCCCTGTTCCTCATGGCTGATTCATTCACTTCATATTTTACAACATATTGGTTTTCTTTTTCTTTTCTTTTCTTTTTTAGATCCCGTCGTGGGGCTTGAACTCTGAGCCTGGGTGCTGTCCCTCAGCTCTTCAGCTCAAGGCTAGCGCTCTACCACTTGAGCCACAGCACCATTTCTGGCTTTTTTTTTCTTTTTGCTTATGTGGTGCTGAGGAATAGAACCCAGGGCCTCAGGCATGCAAGGCAAGTGCTCTACCACTGAGCCACCTTCCCAGCCCAACATATTGGTTTTCTTATCTGTCTCTCCTACTGCACTTAGAATTTTTCTTTTTTTCTTTCTTTTAATTTTTACTGTAAAGATGATGTATAGAGGATTACAGTTACATAAGTCAGGTAATGAGTACGTTTCTTTTTGAATAGTGTCACTTCTTCCCTTATTTTCTCAGCTTTTTTCTTCCCAATCCCCCTTCCTTAGAACTTTTCCTTCTTTCTTTCCTTCCTTCCTTCCTTCCTTCCTTCCTTCCTTCCTTCCTTCCTTCCTTCCTTCCTTCCTTCCTTCCTTCCTTCCTTCCTTCCTTCCTTCCTTCCTTCCTTCCTTCTTTTCTTTTCTCTTGTTAGTCATGGGGCTTGAACTCTGGGCTTGGGCTCTGTCCCACAGCTCTTCAGCTCAAGGCTAGTACTCTACTACTTGAGCCACAATGCCACTTCCAGTTTTCTGGTGGTTAATTGGAAATAAGAGTCTTACAGAGTTTCCTGCCCAGACTAGCTTTGAATGGCATTCCTCATATCTCAGCTTCCTTAGTAGCTAGGATTACAGGCATGAGCCACTGGCCCAGGACTTGAACTGAGGGGCTTGGACGCTGTCCCTTAGCTGCTTTTGCTAAACGCTAGTGTTCTACCATTTGAGCCACAGCTCTACTTCTAACTTTTTTGGTAATTTATTAGAAATGAGTCTCATGGACTTTTCTGCCCAGGTGGCTTTAAACTGCAACCCTCAGATCTCAGCCTCCTAAGTAACTAGTATTATAGGAATAAGCCACCATTGCTTGACTATCTAGGTCTTTTTCTTTTTCTTTTTCATTTTTGTATGGATACTGGTGTTAGAACTCTGGGCTTTATGCTCTCTTTAGGCCTTTTTGTTCATGGTTGTCACTCTACCACTTGAGCCATGTATTCAGGTCTGGCTTTTTGTTGGTTAGTTTGAAGTAAGAATCTACCCAACTTTGTCTGAACCACAATCCTCAGATCTTAGCCTCCTGAGTTGGTAGGATTATAGGTGTGAGTCACTAGTGCCTGTCTTGTCATCTAGTTCTTTTTTTTTTTTTTTTTTTCTAGTCGGTCGTGGGGCTTGAACTCTGGGCTTGGGAGCTGTCCCTGCACTCTTCAGCTCAAGGTGAGCGCTCTACCACTTGAGCCACAGCGCCACTTCTGGTTTTTTAGTGGTTTATTGGAGATCAGAGTCTCACAGATTTTCCTTGCCCAGGCTGGCTTTGAACTGTGATCCTTAGATCTCAGCTTCCTCAGTGGCTAGGATTACAGACGTGAGCCATTGGCGCCCAGCTCATCTAGTTCTTTAAAAGTTACTTTTTAAAAAGATTTTTATAAATAGTAATTGTATGGGTTGGAAAGGATCTCATTGTAACATCACCCATCTATTATATTGTATCCTGATCAAACCCCTCTCTGTCTCCTTCATCCCTTCTAAAATTTCAACAGGTTTCACTGTTCTATTTTCATACAGGCATATAAATACTTTTGCCATAGGAATTAATTTTTTTGTGAATCTTTAGAAAAAAATATTACAAAAGTGATGTATAGCTGGGCACCAATGGCTCATGTCTATGATCTTAGGTACTCAGGAGGCTGAGATCTGAGGATTGTGGATCAAAGGCAGCCTGGGCAGGAAAGTCTGAAACTCTTATCACCAGTGAGTTACTCAAAAAAACTGGAAGAGGCTCTGTAGCTCAAAGGTTAGAGTGGTAGCCTTGAACATAGAAAGACTCAGGAACAGAGCCCAGGTCCTGAGTTCAAGCCTCAGGACTGGCAAAAAAACCCAACCAAACAAACAAGTGATGTACAGTGGAGTAACAGCTACATATAAGTCAGATGATGAGTATATTTCTTTTTGGACAATGTTGCCCAGGAATTAATTTTTTTTAAACTGGCATTTAAAGGAGGCTGAGATTGGAGGGTCATACTTCAAGACCAGCTGGAACAAAACAAAAAAAGGTTTGTGAGATCTGTTTAACAGAAAAAACAAAAACTAAAACTTAAGCATAGTGATTAAGTTGTCACCCCAACTACAGTGGGAAGTGTAAATAGGGGAATCACAGTCCATGCCAGTGCAGTCAAAAAGTAAAATCTTGTCTCGGAACTAACCAAAGCAAAGACTTGAAGGATTGGCTTAGGTGCTAGGGAACTTAGCAAGCAATTATGAAATCCTGAGTTCAAACCCCAGTACAACCAAAAAAAAATGGGTGGGGGTTACAGTTAACATTCAGGACTGGGATGGAACTCAGTGGTAGAATATTTGCTTAGCATGTGCCAGGCCCTGAGTGTTCAATCCCCAGCATATCTCCCTCCCTCCCTCACACACCCACATTCTCTCTCTCTCTTTCTCTCTCTCTCTCTCTCTCTCTCTCTCCTGAGTGGCATTAAGTATATTCACACTGCTTTTCAGTATGTTACCATTCCAGTCCATCTCCAGATTTTTTTTTTTTTCATTTGTAGACTGAAACTTTGTAGTCATTAAATGCTATGAATTCCTGTTCCTTCCTAGTCTTCAACCCTGGCAACCATCATTCTACTTTCTCTGTAGATATGACCATTTGTATATGCCTCATACAAGTAGAATCATGTAGTATTTACTTTTTTTTTTTTTTAGTATTTACTTTTTTATGACTGACTTATTTTGCTCGCCATGTCTTCACCATTAGAATTTCTGTTTAAGGCAGAATGGTATTACATTGTATGTATGTACCATATTTATGACATTTCTGTATTTCTCTTTTATTCTGTCTTTACTACCTAGCACAAATCCTTTTTTAAACTAGGATTTGTACTCAAGGCCTTGTACTTGCTAGGAAGGTGCTTTACCTCGTGAACCATACCTCTGTCCTTTTAGCCTTCTTTATTTTTTGAATAGGGCCATTGTATATGTTGTGCAAGCCTGGACAGTGATTTGCCTATTTATGCTTCTCACATAGCTAGGATGACAGTCATATACCACTGTGCCCAGCTGTTGAGGCTTCAAGCTTAGGTTTGGTAATATCTTTGGAAAAGAGACTAAATATGCTAGGGATACTCAACAGTTTAGGTTGACTTTCTGGAAATAATTGATGTAGGTTCATTTCATTTGTATAGAACTGTCTTGCAAAACACTGGTGGCTCATACCTGTAGTCCTTGGACTAAGGAGGCTGAGATCTGAGACTCAGTTTGGATCCAGACCATTTAGACAAATTGTTGAGATCTTGGTCTCTAATCAGTGAAAAAGCCAAATGGGAGCATGAGACCCTGAGTTCAAGACCCCATACCAGCAAAAAACAACAAAGAAGAATTTAACTGTGATTATATATGGTTTTAAAACCCTAACCCTAAACAACACCCCCCTGCCCAGCCAACGAAAGAACACTAGCAGTACATTCAACAAGTCCCTTAAGGAATCAGTAAAATTGATGTAATTGTATTCTGCAAAGAAATTTTGAAAATTGTATTTAAAATGATTTTGAAATTAGTAAGTGAAAACTTGACTTGGCATTGTTGGTAAGAAAATGACAAGGATAAAAATTACTCAAGCTACTTAGTACTCATATTTTTGTTTAAAGGGATTCTCTCACTTTTTCTTTCCTTCCTTTCCCTCTCTCCATCATCTCTAGCTGTTTACTCAGTAACTAGGAATATATTTGTACTATAACAGTCACTTAATTGGAAACGTTTGTTAGAAGGTCTTGGTGATAAGCTGAATTTTTGTTTCTGAACGTTTACTGTGATAGATTGTAATTCCTCAACCTGATAGCCTAGATCAGTCACTATAATCTTGAATGTCCTACCCAGATCATTTCCTAAATGTAAGAACAAAAGTTTAAAATTTTTATTTATGCTTCATGAATATTTGTGTCTGTGGCGGATTTAAAGGGAGACTGTTCTCATCATGGTTAACAGAGGAGCCAGCATCTTCCTTTGTGGCAAAGGAGAAGTACATTGGGAAGCCTTGCTTAGAAGTTAATATTCCGGCCCAGAAATGACATATCACTTACTTAAAACTCACTAGCGACAAATAGTCATATACTCTTAACTACCCAGGAGGAATGAGGGTTGGATAGGAAGTTCTACCATGTGCCTGGAGTAGGGAAGAAACAAAATATTTGTTGAGTAGCATAATAACTGTTATATAGTCTTTCAAGAATTTGGAGATTCTGTTCTTGCCTAGCATAAAATGTCCTGATTTTTTGCCTTATTGTAACATGACTTTTAATTCTCTAGGCCATTTCTACTAACACTACAGTTTTTCAGTGTTAAACCTGAAGTGTTATTGTCCAGTAGGGAACACAATCTGGTCAGAATAGGTAGAAGAAATTGTAGGGTTTTTTTGTTTGTTTGTTTGTTTTTCTTACTTCTCCCTTTTGGCAATCTGAAATCAGACTGTATGTAACCTGACAATAATCAGGTTGGTCTATCTAATAGCTATTTCATAAGTGATATTTAATTTTTCCTTTCATGATTTAAGTTCAGATAGACAGTCAAAGCATTGTAGAATACAGAGACTGAACTTTTAAGACTGACTTTCAGAAACTGTGTCATCAGGGCACATGATTAATTGTCCCAATAAACAGATATTAAATATTCCTAAACAGCTTTGCTTTGTTTCTTTCTGTCTAGGTTTACCACAGCTCTTTAGGGACTTGCTTCAATGTTTAAGGTCTCATGTTGATACCTAAGAAATGATGAACACACATTGAAGTACTGTGGTGTAGATCATCATCACTTTTTTTGTTGTTGTTGTTTTATACCATTATTTTAAAAATTCAAACTGATGTACTGCTTCTCATTTTCAGGTAGGGTTCTTTCACAATCTACTCCTGGAACTCCATCAAAGACTATAACAATACCTGAGAGTGGTGTTATTGGATCAACTATAAATTCTACAACACAGACACCAAATAAAATAGCCATCTCACCTTTGAAATCGCCAAATAAGGTAAAAAAAAAAAACAAAAAACAAAGAAAAAGACAAATATTATGATTGATGCCTTTATTTTCTAACTAATCATTAAGATATTCTAGTTTTCATATATTTCCAGGCAAGTAATACACATTCAGTGAATCTTGAGTTTATTTTATAATCAAGGAATTTTAACAACAAAAATTACTTTTAAACACATGAGAACAGTAATCATTTTGCATGCTAAGATGTTTTTCATGCCCATATAAATATGAATGTAGGTTACTTGTAGTTTTATGCAAAAATACTGTCTTTGGGTAAGGCACTAGATATAGTGATATCTAGTGCATATATACTGACTATTACATGAAATGTTAAAGTAACTTGCTTTTCTAGAGATTGAATTACATTATAAAACTCAGTGTTAGAAATTGCCACTGACTGCTGGTAACCACATTTATCAGTGTTGTAAAAGCTTAAATATATTTCATTCATAGTATTTTAAAGTATTTTCATGATGTGTTTTCATTTTAAGGTGACAATTTTCTGTTTGGACTTCAGTCAGGTTTAGTAAGCAGTCTTAACTCATTCCCCAAAACATACAGATATCATAAAACCAGCATATAAAAATGCACAAAAAAGGTATGTTTTAAAAATTACATTGTTGGGGCTAGGAAGATGGCTCAGTGGTAGAGCGCTTGCCTTGCATGCCTCTGAGGCCCTGGGTTCAATTCCTCAGCATCACATAAGCAAAAAGAAAAAAGCCAGAAGTGGCGCTGTGGCTCAAGTGTTAGAGTGCTAGCCTTGAGCTGAAGAGCTGAGGGACAGCGCCCAGGCCCAGAGTTCAGGCCCCACGACCGGACCCCCCCCCAAAAAAAAAAAAAAAAAAAAGCATTATTCTGTAAGGTGCCAGCCACTCTTGTGATTCCAGACACATAACCACTGGCTTGTGCCTGTAATCCTAGTTACTCAGGAGCCTGAGTAGCAAACTGAGGATTATAGTTTGAAGCCACCCCAGCCAGGAAAAGTCTATGAGACTTTTATCTGCAGTTGATCAAAAAGCTACAAGTGGAAGTGTGGCCATGAACAAAAAAGCTAAAGGGCAGTGCCCAGGCTCTGAGTTCAAGCCACAGTACCAGCATAGCATGAGGGAGGGAAGGAGGGAGGGGCTCATAAGTAAAACAAAACACTAAACATTTACCTTACATATTATATAAATATTTTGTTAAAGTAGGCAGATGCCTGCCCAGTTAATATAGACAAACTTTTCTAAAATTGAGTGAATTCAGATATTTAAATGCTTGCTGAATGAAATGCATAGTAATATGCACTTGAGCCAAAACACCAGTAAGGTAAGTTTTTTAATTTCAAGGAATTTATTAAGGAAGTTTGAAGGAGAAAAATTAAAATTCTCCACAGAATTGTAATGATTAAAGTTGGCTTGAGCTCTGTTCTTTCTCTCTGTGTCTCTATGTATCTGTCTTTCCATCTTTCTCTATGTATGTGTGTCTGTGTGTGTGTGTAAAGGTATATATAGAGAAGACAATTCAGGTTTTTGTGGTACTGGGGATTAAACTAGAGCCATATGCATGCTAAGCAAATTCTATACTACTTGAGCATATCCCTAGCTTTTTTGTTTTATATTTTGTTTTTAAGATAGAGTCTTGCCTGGACTGGCCTCAAACTCTTGATTTTCCTACCTCCACCTACTAAGCAACTGGTATGACAGATGTGTACTACTCACTCTGTTCCGAGACTATTTGAATGATTGCAAACCTTAATGGTAGGTGAGACTTATGTGTGAATGAGCTTTTTGGGTCAAGGTAATAGTTTATGCAGAAATAAAAAAGTGTGACTTATTTAGGGAGCTACACTGTTTTGGTAGTGTAAGAGCTTGGGGTGCTAAGGTTAGATTGAAGATCTCATTGTCTTCAGAAATGCTTGTAGGGCAGTGGTTTTTACCCTTGTCTACACATTGTAGTTACCCAGGGAGGTTTTGATGGCTGATTTTAATTCACAGTTATTCGGTTTCAGTCTCTTTTGAGCTTGGTCCAATATTAGCAACTGTGAAAGATAGTTTGGGTAAGGAAGCCTGGGTTCTGGGAGAGAGTTCAGATTAGTAATCATCATCCCCCTACTGGGTTTACAGGCATGCTGGGTTTATAGGCATATACCACCACACCAACCTTACTTACCTTTTGAGATGAATTATTTTAAACTGTAGAACAGTCTTGGTTTTATTGGTCAAGATTCACAGGTATGAAAATTTTCTTAAAGCTGTTATTGACTTAAGCTTCCCCTGGCTCAGGGATTGGTAGTGAAAAAGATTGCACTCTCACTCTTCTCCCTTGTTGCCCCTTTCTTCATTTTCTCTTTCTGATTAGAAGGAAGATTTGAAGAGAAAGGATAAAGTGTTACATGACAGGGACTGTTGTTAATATAGCTGTTGCTAATATCTGTGTGTCAGGTGTCTAAATGTAACGTTAGAGTTGAATTCATAGGATGCTGTTTTGGGAGGTCCTTGTGGGTCTGTCCACAGTGCCTAGTTCTCTTGCAGCTACCTGTGCAACTTCCCTTTTAGCTCTTGCTTCCTGTAATCCATTCTATAGTCTGCTAACTGCAGGGTCCTATCAAGATGCCTTAGCCCTTGTTCTGTACTACTTGGCCAATGGAAACTCGTATAACCCCGGGGTAGGGTGCAATTTACCTAACTGTTGTCTTCTACATTCTTTTCCTGTGATAGCTCCATCCATCTTATTTCTTTTGCAGACTTTTCAGGTCTGGGCCCAGTTTTCTGTGTTACATATTCCCCTATACTCCTGAGAATATGTGACAACTACTCCTAAAGCCTCACTACATTGTATTGTTGTGATGACCAAAATGGGCTTGACGGTTTATCTCAATAAGTTATGAACCAAAGATTCAGTTGTCACTTGTCCCTTTTAAAATTACTGTCAGGCTTCCCCGAGGCCTTCTTGGATCACCCTTGCCTTTGTTCACTGGATTTTGTGAGAGCCCAGTTAGGTGAATGGTTCTCAGCTTTAGCTGTACTTTTTAAACACTTAGGGCCTCTTTTATTTCTTCTTCACCTTTCTTCTCCTTTCCTTTCTTCTTCTTCCTCCTCCCCCTCCTCCTCCTCCTCCTCCTACTTCTCCTTCACCCTCTTTTTCCTCCTCCTCTTCCTCCTCCTCTCCTCCTCCTCCTCCTTTTTTTTTTTTTTTTCCCAGTCCTGCGGCTTGAACTCAGAGTCTGGGAGTCCTGGGGCTTGAATTCAGAGTCTGGGCACTGTTCTTGAGCTTCTTTTGCTCAAGGCTGGCACTCTACCACTTGAGCCACAGTGCCACTTCTGGCTTTTTGGTTTATGTGGTACTGAGAAGTGGAACCCAGGGCTTCATGCATGCCAGGCAAGCACTCTACCACTGGGCCACATTTCTAGCCCCATTTGGGTGCCTCTTCAAGATACTTATTTGCTGGCTTCTCTCCTGCCAGACCCCATTAATTCAGAACATCTAGAGCTGGACATAGGCACCAGATTTAATGTTTTAAGTGCCAACGTGTAGACCAAGGTACAGAATCACAAAGTAGGAATATGATAGTATGAGCTAGACTAGAGCTATAGGGCTACTAGTGAAGTAAGATAGTAAGATATAAAACCCTAAAATCCTGTTATTCTCTATGTTGTTTGTTTGAGAAAAGTCTTAATGTGTAGCCTTTTTTGAACCTCCTGCTGTTTACTACCACACTCAGCTTTTTTTTTTAAAGAAATATAAAATTATGGGGCTGGGAAGGTGGCTCAGTGGTAGAGCATGAGGCCCTGGGTTTGATTCCTTAGCACCACATAAGCAAAAAGAAAAAAGCCGGAAGTGGTGCTGTGGCTCAAGTGGTAGAGTGCTAGCCTTGAGCTGAAGAGCTGAGGGACAGCGCCCAGGCCCAGAGTTCAGGCCCCACGACTGGACCCCTCCCCCCCCCAAAAATAAAATTATTTACTACTATTTACTACTATTCACCACTATTCCTAATAGAGTAAATGGTATACAATTGGGGATTATTCTGATTACAACAAAGTTGTTTTCCTGGCTTTCTCAGAACCAGTATCTCAATACGGAAAAGACTGAGCATCTGTGAAAGGAATGAGTTGGGGTAAAGAAAAAGCATGCAGATCAATAATGATAATTTATGCTATTAGGTCCTAAATTGTGAATATATCTAACCAGCTGATTATTACATTTCTATGAGCCAAGCCTTAGATATTATAAGAATAAGGATGGCTTACTCCAGGCACCCTTAAATGTCTGCTTGGTCTTGCTTGGCTAATTGAAGAAAACCAAGATTTTTCTAATTTTCTGATCTGGGTGGGGAAATTGTTGATAACAAAATTTTTTTCAGGGAATTTTGTAACTGTTTTGTAACTATTATGTTTATGTGTTTGTGGCAGAAGCAGGAAAATAAAAGTTTAGGGCCAGCCTGGGCTGCATAGCAAGTTCAAGGCTAGCCTGAGCTGTCTAGCCACTCTATCTCAAAGAAAGAAGGGCTGAGGTTGTAGATCAGAGGTACAGTGCTTGCCTACAATGTAGAATGAACCAGGTTTAATCTCTGAAACTTCAAAACAAACTTTCCCAAACAGAAACCTTCTCTGTAAATGTTTTATGTATACACACATAAATAAATGAAAACCAAATTTGGTCCTTTGATAGGGCCTTTAAAGATAAGTTCTGATTAAGTAACGACATTTAGAAAAACCTGTTATTGAATGCAGAGGAGCTGTACCATGGTATCAAATCTTTTTTCTAATGAAAGAAGCAAGTTGAAGAATCATTTATTGTTTTATTGAAAGTGACTGGTGCTTTTGATGCAAATAAATAATAAAATAATATAAAAAAGAAAACAGCTGCCTTAATATTCTGAACTACTTTCAAAACCAATGAGTCCAATTTTCATTATTTTTCACTATTATTTCAAAGATTCAGATCTTACATGTGTGTTGTATGTATGTATATATGTATATATATTTTTGTGAGGGTATATGTACATATATT